CCACAACCCACGAACGCTCGCCCGCTCGCGAGTGCCAGACAGCTCAACGCAATTTTGTGGCTTACCATCGTACCAGTGTGGCTCAACACCACTTTGCGGCTTGGTCTATTCTGTGACAATTGGTTTCGCGGACGTTTCTACACTAGAATAATCGTCAAACGAAAGGAAATCTTGTCACTTTGTATCAAGCAAAGGAACGGAACCGGAGTATCCAAAAAGACACTAAGCCGGAAAGTTGTTTTGAGCCACAAAGTTGCGTAGAGTCGTCGGGGCACGCTGGAGGAGTGCCTACGGTTGTGTGCCAGTGAGCGAGTTCGTGGGTTGTGGCGGCTAGCCACAACCTTGGCACGAGTATGATACCCTCTGGTTTGCAATAACCACTGGCACAACTCCCAGCGGAAGTCACGTGTGCGGAAAATCCCACAAGCCAGATTCCAGGACCCAACGAGTCAGATTTATGATAGAATTAAAGGGGGAAGAAGATGACTTCTAGCATTGTAACATGCACACTCGCCAGGATCAAAAGCCCGCTCGGAAGGTATAGTCGCAACACAGAAATTGCCCTCCCCTAGTAGCGCCCGGCGACAGGAGAGTTGTATTAATGCTATGATATCCGCTATTTGATCGAATATCACCCTGGTCCCTCTATGGGGAATAAGTATAATTCCGCAAAAGTGAGTTGTGGTGGAGCGGTTGCTTGAGCATGTGTAAAAAATATCGGGAAGGACTTTTTTGACTCTGGTGAGGAGGATAATCAGGAGAGGAAATTGGCGCACTCCCATTCATTAGGATTCCTCGGGCAAAGAGGTCAATGGAATATGGGGGAACGGTCAGGTATGTGTGATGGATTGCGTGCGCTTGCAGGATGTAGAGGTACTGGTGCCCAAGTGGCAGCTAGTACTGAAAAACAAAAAATTGTGCGGAATGGTATGTGTACTTCACAGGATGAGAACCTGCTAGTCACCAACTATCACTGATGAAACTTTCAAACTGTAAGAAAATGCCTTGCAAATGCGATCACCTTCAATCTCCAAGCTAGCTAATCAACCTCTTCACATGTAACTGGTACGGGTACTCGGTTATTGGTTTTGTTTTATGTTTTGTTTTAAGTATCGCTTTGATACTTGGTTTTGTTTTATGTTTTGTTTTAAGTATCACTTTGATACTTGATTTGTTTTAAGTATTGTTTGATACTTGGTTTTGTTTTATGTTTTGTTTTAGGTATCGTTTGATACTTGGTTTTGTTTTATGTTTTGTTTTAAGTATCACTTTGATACTTGATTTGTTTTAAGTATTGTTTGATACTTGGTTTTGTTTTATGTTTTGTTTTAAGTATCGCTTTGATACTTGGTTTGTTTTAAGTATCGTTTGATACTTGGTTTTGTTTTATGTTTTGTTTTAAGTATCGCTTTGATACTTGGTTTGTTTTAAGTATCGTTTGATACTTGGTTTTGTTTTATGTTTTGTTTTTAGTATCGCTTTGATACTTGGTTTTGTTTTATATTTTGTTTTAAGTATCGCTTTGATACTTAAGGAGTTTTACCAAAGTGTATCGATTGATACCTTTGATTAGTTTCGTTCATGCTAGACATGAACAGATTTGTGTATTTAAAGACCGCCTGTTTCTACGATAGAAAAGGCAGACTTCGACAGACAGTATTTCAATATACTTGGTTGAACGGTTACTTCTTTGTTCCCCAGTACTCCCTCGAAGCCTCCTTTAGTTCTCAGCTCTTGCCTCCTCTCTGGAAGAGCAGGCCACCTGCCAACTATTGTATCTATTACCGATAACGCGTTTAGCACCCTGCGAACATGTTACACTGCTCCCACTAACGAGGCGGATACCTTTGAGCTTCCTATACCTTCCAGTACCTATTTTGAGTGCCAAAAGGGAATTGGGGAGTGGATTGAGATGGCTGAAACATTTAGTCTGAAATCTAAGGCCAAATTCCAACAATGGGCAAAGGGAACTCAAATCTGCTTAGCTGAGGCCCAGCTTGAACAAGACTCCTACCATGCAGTTCAATCCCGCATCCGTGAGGAGGAACCGTGTCACAAAACCAAATCCCGCCGAGTTATTCAAAAAGGAGGTGTTATCACAATTGAGGCAGCCAGGATTAGAAAAAAGGAAAAATATCAGAAGCAGAAGGCTGCAGCTATCAAGAAGGCTCGAAAGAACATTCAAGCAGCTGTCAATAAGGCAAAAGCAGCTCTGCACCACTGTGGTGTAGATGCTCGTAAGGCTGAACGGGAAAGGAAGAAAAACATCTTTGAGCTACAAGCTCAAGGTAGTCATATTGCACCCGAGATGTTGGTTCTGATTCCTGATCCAGAAAAGAATCCCACCCCTGAGGACCTGGAAGCCCTTTAGCCACCTCCTGATTTACTGCAAGCCTTATTGCTACTTGAGCCGGCTGTTCTCGATACTACCACTACTGGAAAATCAATAACGCCTTGCAACTGAGGATGAATCTGAAGAATCAGATTCTAAATCTTCTACATCTTGCGACTCAATTACAAGGAATGCTGATTTTATTACCTTCAATTCAAACATGTAATTTACAAAATAATACTCATAGTTGGGTTAATTGATGCTATTCTGCCAGTCTCTTAGTTGACATATCATATTATGTAATCCTGAAAAAAAAAAAAAAACCCCGGAGCGTAACACTTGCTTTTGCGTAACGCTTGGTTTTCCCCACTATGAGGGAACCGAATAGGAGGGTAACCGGCTATTAAAACATGGATCTACTGACCGAGACATGGCAGATCAGAGTAAACAAATCGAACCAGTAGGAAAAGCACGCACATTAGAGCACCTAGGGCTCTCTGGTTTTTTTACTTCTAAAAACAAGGTTGATATTAGTGATCCATAGGGTCGATAGATGAAGGAATTCCACAGAGAATGTAGTGCTCGACACATGCTTTCTCTTGACTAATACCTTCTCTGGTGCCGAGAAACAAGTATAAAAGAACGGCGGTTTAAGAGCTGCCCGGCGATTCCTAAATACTACCCGACCCTCTAGAATGAGCTTGGTGGCCTCAAAAGTAGGTAAATGGCCAACTATTTAAAACGCTTCCTTGACGTCACAGAAGCCCCCCCGTCCTATCCGTTGGGCCCTCGCAACAAACACGCAATTGACAGTTCCCCCGCCCCTTCTGTCGTCTCCCTACTATCAATATTACGCCCCCACTGTGTGATACAGGTTTGCATTCCCACCTCCGACCTCAGCTACCAATTGCAATTGGAGAGCAAAGAGTAAATTAAGTCCCCAAATGATAAAGGGTAAGTCAGGTTAGAAGAGCATCAGCCCTTTCAGAGCTATCTGACGTAAAATTTGACAATCCCTCGGGCGACGGCAGGAAGGCTCATCGCGATGTGCTAGTCATCAAACCGATTTCTTCAGGGACACCCGACCAAGTGATCGCCATCTGAGCCTGTGAGTTTATTCATCCCAAGATGGGAAGTTGGATATCCATTTACGTTAACCGGTATTCGTAATTTCGCTAGCCCACTCTGCTAAGCCCGCCGCGGTTTAGACTGCAATTTCTGTTGAGATCTCAGATGGTGGATTTACTCGTAGAGGACTAATATGGTAGTTTAGATAGCGACAGATAGCTCACCACGATATGCACCATTTCGCTCCCACGACGCGTCCGAGGTTTCAGCATCAAGTGCATAACCTGGTGAGCGCCGGGTGCGGCAGCCTCCCGCTAACATTTGAGCTTCCCGGTGGGAGAAAAAATAACCTTGTTTTAAAGCCGGATCTAACTTCTACAGGCCGATTTCAACACCCTCAAGCGAAGAAAATTTCGCATCCCAGCCGATAACGGCATAGTGCTCGAGCACGGTATGTAGCTTTACTTGTAGTTGATAAGTTGACCGCTACGATCAGGGTCAGGGCGGGGTGGCCTTAGCAGAAGTTTAAGACCGGGGATGCATTACCGGGCACCCCCTACCGTATCCTAACTAACGGTAAAATGAGGAACAGGAAGTACTTGACCATTCATAAAGTGTTCGGATGCCTTGGCGCCAAGGTATGTCATCAAGCACCTAAACATGGAATCTTGGCGCCAAGGCATCCGAATACTTTATGAATTGTCAAGTAAAGCGCATGATCGCTGGTGGATACTATAAATAATAAAAATCCTTGGCAGCAACACTGATGTTCCCCACGTCCCAAAATTCACACCCCAGCTACCGCCACCCTAATACCTCCTATTACCTCTCACCCAATTGAACCACCCTCCCCGGCCACCAAAACCCACCACATCCGCCATACCAGTACGAGTACCCGCAAAGAACATGGCTTGGACGGCAAATTCCCCCATCGTTGCAAGCAAGGACCCTAAAGCTCTATCACTTGCTTCCCATTGGCTCCAAAGCTCACCCCGCCACATCTGGCGCAAGGCTGAACATCCACTTTCGGGGCTCCCCAAGATTACCTGTAAAGATGCTGTTTCACGCTTTTATCGCAGTACTGTATGTGTACTCGAGTAGTTGAGCCCCAAGGAGCAAGCGACCCCAAGGGGCGGCGGGAAGGTCCAGGCGCTCTCTTCACGCCACTGACTTAGCGTACGGTAGCTTAACCGGAAACCTTACTATTTTTCGCAGAGCAGAGGGGTGGGAGAAAGTGAATGAGAAAGTGAATGAATTAGGCTTAATGAGCAACCCCGGTTTAGGGGGACTGTTACGTATCATACCTTGTACGAGTACCTGTAGACTGTGTGAGCTCTTAGTAGGCGACACCCTCAGCGTGGCTTGGCTTGGCTTGCTACTGCAGTTGAATGCAGGCAGCCTTTACTGCCAAGTCTCCCCGCGCCCTGCTGAGGTTGCCGCCTCGCTGAGGGCGAACACGGTTTATTGGGTTGGGCTGGGTGCCAATTCCGTATTTTTGGTTTGTTCCCGAGGGAGGTGGTAGGATGAGAGTCCTACTTACCCCCGTACGATTTTGGTAGCGTGGCAATATTTTGTACGGCCAACGGAATCTCGGGGCTTGATGTATTACGGCTGTGCTGCTGCGGCTTTCGAAAAACCAACATATCCGGGGAATGCTAGTATGGTACTTCGGAAGTACTCGATGGGAGTACAGTATAGTAGAGTGCCTGGCGGGAAGACTGCTGGAATGACAGATGGGAGAGCACGGGGCGGTGGTCATAAAACTATAAAATACTTTCCCCACACCGCAACGCAAGAAGGCGAGAAGACTTCTTCCCCATTTCTCCCTTTTCCCCACCCCACAAACCAGCTAATAGCGACACCAACAGTGATGGCCACCTTATGCGCAATTCTCACCCTCCTAATCCTCACCGTCCTCACCCCCTCGACGACCGCCTCCAACATCCTAAGTAACGAAGTCCTCAAGCTCCCCGACTACCCCTACCTAACCTCCTGCCAGCAAAAATGCGCAGCCGGCGAGGCCAACAACCAAGCATCCCCAACCTCCATCTTCTCCCTAACAATCTGCGAGACAAAAGCCTGCTTCTGCCCAGCACAGAACGAGCCACAGATCGGACGGCAAGCGCAAAACTGCCTAGAAGGGGTGAGCGGTGGGGTATGCGCAACGGCGAAGGAGTACAACGGCCTGATGGCCTTCGTGGCAAAGTACTGCGGGTTCGAGTACGTCCCCACTACGACCGGGTTATCATTTGCGCCTTCGGGGAGCGGCGCGACGAGTACGCAGGGGGCGACGGCCACCGCTAGCTGCTGGGATACAAACGGATACCCGGTAGAGACGGAGGGGTGCAGTTCTAGTAGTACGTTCTCTCCTCATCTTCTCTGTGGAATGGCGGATTGGGACTGATCTGGCCAGTGACCACGGCGACCCGGACGTCGGACCCCTACCCGACATCCACTTCTAGCGGCAGTCCTCAGGAAACCCGGACACTATTGGATGGAAAAAACGCATTCACAATTGGGATAATCACCGGATTCTCGATATTAGGGATCGTCGGGTGCGCTCTTTTGTTGCGGGGGCATATTCGCCGTAGAAGGGCAAGCTGAACACTACTCACTCTCCCCATCCAGAACAGATTACTTTCCCCCCACACACCCGCCCGCTGTGGAGGTATATCGTTGAATAGCGCTTGGGTGTAATTTTGGATGTCCCGGGTTTTGCTGTTGCCGCTGATGCGCAATACGTGACTCGGAGGTGTGTAGGAGGAGTTATAGTTAGGTTCCTTTTCTAGCAAATTATAAGGGTGCGGAGAGGGGAGGGGGTAACCTGGTGTGTGGTAATTTTTGAGGATTAGTATGTATGTGAGATAGAACATTTATCTTTCATAGGGAATTTATGTTTTCCGTCGTATCCGGAGTGAGCTGAGGCTACGAAGGAGTCTAAAGTCTGCAGCTCTAACTATGGGCTATTCCCTATGGCTAAAGGGTAGGAAGACTTGCTTCCCTTTAATCAAAATCTCTTTGTGGATAGAGGGGTTAGTGGTACGGGGGGTTTGACATTGTCGAGCCAGGTATGAATTTCAACAAGATGAGAAAGGAGGGGGGGGGAGATAAGTAGGTGATAAAGTACATAGAGCGGAGTATAAAATCGGCAGTAGGGGAGAGATGAAGTAGGGTAAATTTGGTGGGAATATTTCCAGGAGCAGATTGATGTCTTGGTGGGAGGGATATGCTGGGGGCGTTACTAAGAAGTTCATAGGGGCTAGAAGCGAGTGATTTTTAGTGATGTGTATTCAACCTAGATGTACGATATGAGACATATAAGTGAAAGAAACGGGTAATGATGATAGTAATATTATCATATGATATATCTCAGTGACGTGTGGTATAGCCTCCTCCCAACCCTCGTCATTGATCTGCGCATTGGACAGCAGTGAAACATCCTCCCCTCATCTTGATTCTATTGTACCTGTTCCTCCAATCCCCTGTCCGGAAAGAGGGTCTCAAGCCCGAAATCTCTACCTCACTCCCACACCAACCCCATCTCGCCGCCAGTGACCACATTCAAATAAGCGTCCAAGACACCCAATAAACTCCGAAGCCAACCCCCTCACCCCCAAACATAATCCATTCATGAACGAATTGCAGGAAGTTAACCACTTGAATTATCCGAAAGTTAAATAACCCGGTGCAAACCTGTAACTAATCATCACTCATCACAACTCCTACTCTTCCACAATCACACATTATCAAAGCACAACGAATATTCTTCCGGACTTGGTTTTTTTTTTTTTCTAAAAAAAAAAAAGGATAGAAAATGCCATCACAAACCCCCGCCAACGACCGCGAAGTTTATGCCTTGCCTATTGGGCCCCCGGGATCTAACCAGGTCATTGTCTTACCGCCCACCTGGGTGATCCCGACGAATCTTGTTGCGCCGCTGGTTCTCGGAGACGTGATTGTTATTGAGGCGGTTCATCCTGATGAGAAGGGTGGTGAGGAGAAAAAGTGAATTTAGTGGGAGGTAAGTGGTCCTCGGCTCCCGAGAATTGGTGGGTGGGGGTGGGGTATCTTCATGGGGATGAGATATCATAGTTTATTTAATACATGAGGTTTAATCCATTGTCGATTTTGGAGTTTTGGTTCCGGTACTAGGATGTGACCTTTGTGAGATGTGGGTGAATGGTAGGCTCCCTTGGAGAGGCAGTCCCCCGCTGTGTGTTTGCTATGTAAGAAATCACCTCATCAGTTTATGTAGGCCCCGGGGAGTATGATACCAAGCCCTGGTAGGTTGAGGATTTGTGAACACTCCTTGACCCTGTCGCTTTTACCGCGCACTTGGAATACCCAATTCCCTCTGGTTCGCAATAACCATATGATACTCCCAACCTCTAGCTGAAGTTACTTGTACGAGAAATCCCATCAGACACATTCCAAGACACAACGCGCCAAGCTTATGACAGGATCGATGAGGAGATGACTTCTAGCATCATACTGTGCATATTAGCCAAAATCAAAAGCCAGTCGAGAAGGTTTATTCGCAACAAAGAAATAACTTACCCCTGGCAGCCCCGAGGACAGGAGAATTGTATTGATACTTTACCATCTCAGATTAAATATCCCCCGGGTGCCTCTCCAGGGAGTAAGTGTAATTCCCACAAGTGGGTTGTGGTGGAGCGGTTGCTTGAACATAGGTGAAAAAAAGGTCAGGAAGGACTTTTTCTGACTCTGGCGTGGTGGATAATCGGGGGAGGAAATTAGTGCACTTTTTTATTCATTACCGTAGGATTCCTCGGGGAAAGAGGTCCATGGAATAGGGGTGCTCGGGTGTGCATGATAGATCGCGTGCGCTTGCATAATGTAGGGTACCGGCGCCCGAGTGTCAGCTACGGTACTCAAGCTATGCGCGGGGGGGGGGTTATCCGTACCGGCACATGTCCCCTCCCTCCCTCCCTCCTGGCTAAGCGGGCCTTCATATGATAACAGGATATTTTTTTGTGTTTATTTATTTATTTATTTTAAATGACACTTTCACCATTCCAATCCCAATACCTCAGAATTTCTCACTCTTCTCCCTCTCTCGGAAGCGAGAGTATTGTATCTCTTCTGGTCTTGTGGGGCCGGCGGGTCCTTCACCGTTTTCCCTGGGCACCGGGGCAACAGCCACCTCTTGCTCCCTGCTGCTCAATCAGCAAGAGTCTTATCGGGCTCGCCACGGTTCTCGGAGTCGAATTCTGGGATGCTGGTCATGAACATGTGAAATATACGGCTTTGGGTCAATGATGAAGGTGTGGGTGATTTTGTTTTCCTTTGCAGAGGATTACGGTGCTGAAGGTTCTTGGCCATTCTTGGGTCATGGTAGTGTGCGCACCAAGTGGGATTTCGTTGTATTATATTTACGGTAGTCAAGCGCTACTGTATCGTGGTACAGTACAGAGACAGTAGTACGGTACTCTACTATTATAGCAACAAACCCCAGGGATTTCTCATGCTAGATTCGATTCTCGGCTACAGTAGAAAGGGTTACTGTGTTAGAAATGGTTATTATCACAGTGTAAGACCCCGGCGCCAAAAAGGGGTCAGGTCTATGCTATTCCTGTCTTGACTCCCGGACAAGTAAATTTACGTACTGGACCCGATTGGTACTGTACTAGTACTGTACTCGTATTGGTTTTCGTGGTACTGTACAAGGATAATGCAGTAAGCTGGGTTTGGTAAGGATTGCTCGGGAATCCATCCTTGTGTCACGGCTCCTTTTGGGCCTCATGAACCACCACAAAGCCACCAAACCCTGCCATAGCGCCACCGAAACAATTCTCGGAATTAGGGGTCGGCTTGGCCTCGATTGGTGGCTTTTGACACCTCACCGCTTGTCCCCTCAACAAATACCCATGCATGGCACACGGGCCGACGGGGGAGAGAAATCTGGCTTCAAAACCTCAAAATCGTCACCAAATTTTTGATGCAATTGAATAAGGGAATGGGCCGATCACGAGAGAGACAATTCACAGTCCACGCTATCAAAGCTTAACTGAGATAAGGTGAACACAAACAAGCGAGGTTAGCCCAATTAAGCAGGGATCGCCCGGAATAAACCGCATGAGGGGTCGCACAGCTTGGCTGTATCACCAATACTGCCCCCTGGTGGAACGCCATTTTCAGCCTCACGGTGTTTATAACTCCGCATCCGCCCACCACCTTCGCACACGAAGGGTATTCGAGTACAAGCACAGTACCGTGGTTCGATTATCGAAAGAATCATTCATGGCATACAATCAATCACCGAATCCTCCGCACGGATGGGCTAACCCTGGCGCACCGCCAGCGATCAATACCAACACTGGATATCCCCCTGGGAACCAGCAGCAATCGTATCAGGCTCCCCAGTTTTCACCTCCCCCGCCAGTGTCGCCGGATAAGAACGGTGGAAATATGATAAAAACTCTCAACCTTTTCTCCACGAAGCCGTCCTACACACCTGTTTCGAACATGGGCGCCACTACGCTGACTAGCCCGGTTGTGGGACCTTCGGGGGGTTACATTCCCCCGCAGACGTTTGGCACGACCGGCGCTGGGCCAGCACCTCCGCAGACGGTTTATAACAGCAACCCGATACCAACCTACTCTCCCTCGACCGGAGGGCCCGCTGGATACCAGCCGGTAAATCCTCCGACCCAGCAATACCCTGCTGTGCCGCTACCGGGACAATATGGTACGAATCAGCCGCCAGTTGTACCAGGACAGCAGCAGCAGCAGCAGCAGCAGCAACCGCTGCAAAGTCCTCAACTCCAGCAGCACCCTCAACCGCAACATCAACAGCCACAGCTGCAGCAGCCTCAGCACCACCAATCACAACAGCAGCAGTACCAGCAGCCGCAACAGAACCAGCATCAGCAACCACAGCAACACCAGCAGCCGCAACAGAATCAGAACCAGCACCATCACCAACAGCCGCAACAAAACTATCCCCAAAACCCCCCACTGGCCCATCCCCATCCGCAACATCAAAGCTCCCAAGGGTTCAATCCCACCCCTCCTAGTGGTTCCCCTGCTCCTCCACCATATACACCACCGCAAAACGGCTACGGACCGGGAGCGGACAAACCTACAATTCAATCACACCTTGCCAATGTGCTGGCCCATCCGACATCCCACAACCCGGGCCAGCAATACAACAACCATCCTTCGACTTCGAATCAACATCCAACGACACAAACCCCATCAAATATCGGGCACACTGCTCAAAATGGTCGCCCGCCAAATCAGGCACCTCAGGGAAATTCACCTGCCCCAACCTCAGGGCCCCCAGGCCAGCAATACGACAACAATAACAACAACAACAACAACCCTCCTTCGACCTCGAATCAACATCCAATGACACAAACCCCATCAGATATCGGGCACACTGCTCAAAATGGTGGCCCTCTAAACCAGGCACCTCAGGGAAATGCACCTGCCCCAACCTCAGGGTCGCCAGCAGTAATGAATAATGCGGAACCAGATGCCCAGTATTGGCATGCACTTGTTGAAGATTCCAAATTACCCATGGGACCAAACCCTGCCATGCGATCCTTGTTCCGGGGTATTGCGGCGTGTATAGTGAGTATGATTTCTCGGTTTCCCGGAAAATGCTAATAATCGCAGAGCAAAGAATGCCTCGTCGATCATTCGCCGCCCTGTATTCTTTCGCCAACCAAGATGTCAATGTACTATGCGACGCTGTTGACCTATAGTGATCGTCAAACAAGTATGTTTTAGCTCCGGATCCGGCTCTGGCGAAGCTAACATCCGCAGAATTGTTCTCGAAAGCGCGAACCCATCCCAGTATCCTTGCAGACCTCTACAACAAGCTCAATTGTCAATACCTTCTGATACCACATCCCATCGGCGACGGAAAACGCCGACCCCCGCTGCCAGCATTGACAATCGATGGCTTCGAGCATTGGATGCTCATACAAGTTCTGCTGAACCCGGATGAAGAATACCAGCGTCTAACAGCTTTCCTCCGAGCTCAGAATCGCGTCGTAATCGATTCGGCGACACAACGACCCGTACCAACGACCTCGATCCCCCGTTCGGCATTGCCAGCAGCCCCGAGCGACTGGGTCGTCAAGCGCTACGCAGGTCTTCTCGAGAAAGCCCTCAACTCCACCGTCGGCCGTGCCGAAGAGATAGAGGAAGTGCCAGACATCGAAGGCACTCGGAAAGAACTCGCATACTTCAAGCAAAGATCCACCGAGACGCAATCAGAAACCCACAAAACACAAGCGGAGCTAGTGAGCACGCGGAAAGAACTGGGCTGGATAAAGACGAAACTGACGGGTGCACAATCCGAGGAGGAATCCACACGTAAACGGCTAGCGGAGAGGGACGGAGAGATAGAATGGCTGAAGAAGAGGCTGGCAGAGACGCAAGCGGAACTGGACAGTTCAAAGAATGAAGTGGAGGGATTGAGGAGGTTGAATTCTGCTAGGAGTGGGAGCGTCTCCTCGGTCAGTTCCGCCGGGACACCTTACCCTACTGGCGGGGGCGCGCAGGGCACCAGGCCGCCGTATCCTGTTGGTGCAACACCGTTGTCCCCGGCCGGGGCTCCGGCGCCGTCGCAGGGCGCACCCTATTACCGGCAGCAGTATCGGCCGTCGACATGACGTGCACGCCTTGCCGCCTAATTGCTGTTTCAACTGGAGGGAATTCCTCACTTTTTAGCCCGCGGGTGTTTTCATGTATCGAGTCCACGGTAGTTATATATAATATTATATCCTTGGTTGTTGGAAGGTTCTCTTGGTGTAGTCGTGATCGCTTGTCCCTTATCCCGCCTCCGACTCACTGAATGTTCAGGCCAGGTCGGCGATACAAGGATAAATAAATGATTATTGAAACTGAATACTGAATCAACCCGTAGACATTACGTGATGAACAGTTACTCGTACACGCAATCGGAGCAATGGGATCATATATTCTCACTCGTTACAATATAGTACCAAATCGTCGACACCCGGGTTTTCTCTATCGTACCCTCCCACACACTTGTTCGAGTTCCCCACTCTCTGGTTCTGATAAGGCAGCGGGGACGCTACCATATTACCCCACCACCCACTCCCCATCATGATATCATCCACACAAGTCAATGTCACCCCCCCACTCAACATCCCCGAACCCGCCAACATTTACACACACACAATCGGGGTCAGTACAAGGGACAAGTCGAGAGGCGAAGGATGGAGCGTGGAGATCGCGACGATAGAAACTGATATTGTCAATGGAAGTTGTGATAAACTTAATAAGTTGAGAGAGTTCGGCAGTTAAGATAACTCGAATGATTGTTGTTCCCTTCAGTTAGGTAAGAGCTCGCTAGGACATTCATCCTTACAAAAAGGGGGGGGAAGGGAGGGAAAGCTCCCCGGCGAACCGGACAAAGTTCTCCAGAAGGTGAGTTTTGAAGTCCAAGTTATGTAGCGTTACCTGCGAAAAAAAAAATAAACCCTATGCCACGAGGCCATCAATCGTATATAATCAATCGTATTTAATTGAACCTCTGGTTGTCCCCTCGTCCCATTCCGGAGACTTTTCAAAAGTGTTATATCGAGCACAGTGGGTTAAGTTACTGCACGAGTTTTATTTTTCCTCAACTTTTCGCAAATGTCCCAAGGCTTCGCTCCTGACCGACTGAGAGGGGAGGGGGGTGTTGGCCTCTCTTATTTTTCTTTTCCTTCTCTTTAGTCGAGTACGAGCACCACATATCCTTCTCCGTTTGGCAAAGGATATCATACATTCAGGTGGTTGTGGCGGTGGCTGTGATCTTGTGGCTTGTTCGGGTTCCCCCTTCCCTTCTTCATGTTCATCACTTGCTGACTAACGTATGGCTGGGGTTCGTTGCTCACTGGGCGATGGGGGAACTCGGGATACTAATAACCGGTATCGGATAACTTGGATTTTACAATTTTGGTGAAATTGCGCTACATTGTTGTGTGGTGTGCTGGATGGTTGGTTACAGGAACTGGGAATCTCCCTCTGTGCATCCTTTGATCCGGTGACTGGGCAAGAATTTATGTTTTTTTTCCCCCCATAAAAGATCCGAAACATTTTGAGCGATTTGGACGGGTTATTTATCGACTACCGTAATACCGGTATGATATATATTTCCTCATAAAATCTCAACCGTGGTTAGCTGTACGGTACTACCATAAGCATTCTTTTAAGTATTGCGCATTTTCACACTTTCTGACATTTTTGCTATGACGTTGTGCGTCTGGTGGTGTTTGATTATCCAATCTGATAAGATATGGTCTTCAACAGGGCACGACAAATACTTGCACCGGTAGGTGACGAGCAGGGGTACAGTACTTGGTGGGGCGTGAAAGTGGATTCGCCTGGGTAGGGTAACAAAAAATATACCAGTTGGGCTAATCCCTGTTCATCAAGGGACGTATCATACGAGGTAAGTTACGTATTCGAGTATTATTCGTCGTGCGCCCGTTGGCCACAATCGTGGGAAACAACAGATTCGGGTTCCATTGGTAGAATCGCGTTGGGGCAACACAGATACGCACAAGAGTCCTCGGAATGCGCTTTTTAATCCAACTTTATAGAGCTGTTCTGCCGTTGGTAGTGTTCAGCGGAACTTAGTGGGATTGCGTACGGTAGTCTACGGTATCTGGCTTCACCACTTTTCCACCGAAAATTAACTTACTTCCCGACGAGACCTTAGCTCGGTGGAGGGGGTGCGGCGGTCTATACTCTAGTACTCGAGCTCATGACGATGCACTAGATTCATCTGCATGTTGGCGTTTCGAATGCCAGTGTTCGGGGCCTGTAGAATTGACATGTCTCTGTCAGAATTCCGGGCGAGGCTCCTGTCTTTGCTCTGTTGTTTCTTTCTTGGTTTGATAGGCGGTGGTGCAAGTTCCTAATTCACAAAGTTTGCAGATGCTGCCAGCTCAGAGAGGCTGTCTTGGCGCATTTTCTCCCAATGATTGACATCGGCTCTTTGGTTGCTGCGGGAGGGTGAGGGAGTTGGTTTTTCCATGGCGGCCGATTTGAAATATTGGAATTATTCTTACCACCCAATTGGATACCGATTGGTCTTCCATTCGCGAGGCGGGAATTTGATATTTTACCCCGCCCTTTCCAATTCCTCCTCACATTCTTTCACCGCCCCGGACTTGGATTCACTTTGTGCTGCTAAAAGCGGTTCGTTCTACTTCTTCCCTCAGACTACTAAAGGATTCTACGATATGGACATGGAACAAGAACAACTCCCTAGCCCTGATCTTTCTCACTTCCCGGAGGTTCCAAGAGACTGGACGGTCTTTGGTGACGTGCTATCAGCCTTGGATACGCTCGGTGGCGCGGTAAGACGGCTGGAGAGCCACCCGCTGGCTTCAAATGATCTACCGGAGAGACTACAAAACGTGGGGGATGCGGCGGCATTGAAGGGGGAGCTCGGTAGGCTGTGTTCTCGCTTCGAGGTGTGTGAAGGCAGCGTTTCGGAAGTTGCGGGTCGGCTGGAGGCGGTGGACTCGGAGGTCACGGATGAATTGAGAGGTTTAGGGGGTAGCCTTAGCGGGATCTTGGAGAGGCAGGACGTCGTCAGTATGAGGGTCGAGGCCTTAGAGAGAGGTTATCGGGAATTGAAAGAGAGCGTCCGAAGTATGAGGGAGGACTTTCTAGAGTTGGGGAAGGATATCGGCAGCTTGACCGGCCGGATAGAAATCTATGAGGAGAACGTGATGAAGCTCGGGGATGGCTTGAAATTGGCTCACTCGGTGATGGCACAGGAGAGGGAAAGATTATCTGCTACTAGGAGCAAGGTGGATGAGATCACCGAGGCAGCGAATGAGGTTGTTATGCGAGTCGCTAGGCTAGAAAGGGGCCATCGGAATATAGACGAAGTTGTCCAATCTGTGAAGGGGGATTCATTTTTCACAAGCGTGACGGAACGAGTCAACACCCTGGAACGAAGAAACACAGAATTGACTGAGGCTGTAGAGGCACTCGTAATCATCTCGGAGGAGGCAGCCGCGAGGAAAGCCAAGGGGCTGCAAGGATCCCGCTTTAGGGGGTGGACAAAAACCAGAGATGATTTGAACCCGATGTATGCTTCCCCAATTCCTCTCCGCCTCCCCCCTAGCATCGAACCGACTAATTGACATGCAGAACCCATGACGACCGTGCAAAGGGTAGAAAACCGCCGGGAGGATCCTTCGGGAGCGTCGATATTGCCCTGTGGAGAGATTGGCTGGACGGGAAGGCCGAAAAATTTCCCAGAAGCGGGGCTGAGATATACGATTTAACTCGTTTGTGACCTCCTTCCTTCGTTTAGATACATGTGTGCGTATATATGTACATACATACATGTAACCGTGGATTCCCTGACTAACGAACGCTATTTCCCCGCGGACGGAACCAGACAAGACTACGCAGGACCTTCGGTTCACGATGTCACGCTATGGAGATGACCTCGAACGGAGATTCAAGCAGAGGCTGGGCCTGGCCGACGGAGTCAGTCTTAAGCCATGGGCGATCGTGGCCGTGCTCCTGGTCGTAGTGTTTGGGTTTATGTTGATGGTATGATAAGTAGGAGTTAAACGGAGATGTGGAGATTGTTTGAGGTATTTTCACTAACCCCCACCAAGCGATATCAGAACACAGGGGATGGCCGAACCCGAACCGGTTGTGGATTCTGAAGGGTTGTGGAGATATTTGAGGGGGGTGTGACGGTCGTATATTTTGGATTTCTTTAGTTATTCATTGGAGATGGGGGATGGTGGGATTGGGAATAGGGATGATATTTAAAGGAATTAGCAATTATTTCTCCTTGAATGGCCAGTTTAGATATGGGAATTGCATTGTATTATCTTACCTTGATACACTGAGTCCTCTTTCATCTCTTAATACCTGCGCAGAGAATCTGGCTCGAGATCGCAAGATCCTAGCATCAGTCACCAGTAAAGTAATACGCCACTCAATACCGTGTAGCGTAGAGGTGATTGACCCCCTTGGCTCTCTATCCATCGATTCGCGCCATATCGTGCTTGGAGTACCCTTAACCTATGCCGTATTTCGTAGGAATGGGGAATAGAAGTATTCAGTCCAAGCCTTCCAATGGGCTAACCCGGGTTAAAAAAGGGCAAACCCGACCCGGCCCAAGCCCAACCCAGCCCAAGAAAGGAAATACCGGGTTAACCCAATGAACCCAGTGGGCTTGTTTCAAGCGTTTTGTCTTTGCTGAGTCTTCTTCATAGATTGAATGAACGCGTACCAAGTGTGCCGCGGGATTTCTGGTGCCATGGGACTTCTGGTGCTTCTGGGCACAATGTATGCATTGCCAGTACCTATTTCGTTTCAAATAAGTCTCTAGATACAGCTCTCTAAGCAAATTACTCCAGGGCTGTAGACTTACTCAATGTCATCAAAAATAACTAACTTTCCATTAGCTGACTCCGGAGGTCCCCATACCCAGGATGAGGGGGGAGGATTTTTGCGTTTCCTTCAAGTTATTGAAGCGGGATTTGGTAGAAATGGGAGATCTGGGCTTAACTCGCTTTCTTCAACGTGTTCTGACGCGGGGACTTCTACTTCTTCCAAGTCATATAGCAAAGACTCTGAGTGTGGACTAGGTGCTCGTAGAATAGCCGGAGGGCTGGATACCACACAGCTCATATTAGAGCAAAAGCTCATTGTTTCGTGTTTTGTATACACACAAGCTTGAGGGTGAAGAGAAAAGCGATATAGGGGGAGGAACGCAAAAGGGTCAGTTGAGTAGATGATAAAAAGAACTGACCTTGTGTGCTCTTGTTGAGGCTGCTCAATTTCTCATCTTTGAAAATGCTCAGAATACCCGAGAGCTAATCAGGTTACCGTCTAGCTTTTCACTATGCGCTGTCCATTAGAACATGGTTCTGCTTGAACCTTTCACCTAAACGTGAATAGTCATTGTTGGAATATTGTCCCTGAGTTTCGATTTCACATGTTCTATTGGTTTCCTCTAAGATCTTTACAAACTTTCCTTCATACCTTACTTGATGTCTGAAACTGTTATCACCCTGTTGTCTCCGTACTGTTCCCTCTCTATCTCCTTGCAGTGAAAATTTATTTCTTGTTTCTTTCCTGCTTCCTTCTTGTTTCAGTGGGACAAAACTTTTGTCCCCCTTACCGGAGATGAAAATTTTCACCCACACAGGTACCGAATTGGATGTGGATCATCTTGTGTTAAAAGGGCCTTATTATCAACTTAGAAAAGATATGCGAATTCAGACCTTTCAATCGTGTGCCTAAGAAAACTCTTGCTGGATTTTATTTATCATTCCTGCTCTATATATTTTCGCCTTTTCACATTACCGATCGCTTTGTTTTACTTCAGTCATGGTCACAGTCTTCATGAATTCCATGTGTTCAGATTCCAGTTTCCATAGTGATCATAACTTGAAGTATCACGAAGATCAGAAATGAGAGACAAAATATTCGCTGGGTTCGCCGGGTAACCCAGGCTTGGCACCTCCGAACCCGACCCAGCCCAGGCTTGCGCCAAGGTGAGCTCAACCCAACGTACCCAGCCCGGCCCAATGAAGGGCCGGGGCTAACCTAACGAACCCGTGACCAATTGGAAGGCTTGATTCAGTCTAGAGGTTTGGGGAATGTTTCTGGAGCGCTTAGTTTCGGGTTGATCAGACAGTTCCTTATACAGAAGCACAATGCGGTAAGTTACACACAGCAAAATCGAAAAGGCTGTAAGATAACAAGTGTTGAATGTATTTCAAAAATGGGGCTGAGTGTCTATTTCGGAATCTGGTGCCGGTAATTCCTCAAAGCATTTACTGAGAGTGAGTTGGCATTTCCTTGGCACGGAAAGTCTTGGACAGGCATTTTCACACAACTAGCCATGCCCCCGCTTTTGTTTCAACTCAGCTCTTAGAAATTTTACAGTTGTAAGCTCCATCGATACCTTTACGAGTTGATATATCATTCTATTTCTACATCAACGAACATTTTTTCCTCTTTTTCTTTTATGAGAATATGGCCCAGACGGTACATCTCACGGTCGGCCAGGGCAATACCCACAGTGGCAACATAACTCGTAGTTTCAATGTCTACAAGTCAGATGAGGATGCGCGGCTTATGCGATGGCTCTCTCCACTCGAGCCAAATATTAGGCATGAAGGCGTGCGCAGCGAGCGATTTGACGGTGTTGGAGATTGGTTTTTGGAAATGGCCGAGTTTCGGGAGTGGAGAAGTAGTGAGGGTGGAGCTGATAAGGCTGTGCTGTTTTGCAGTGGGAATCCGGGAGTGGGGAAGACATATCTGAGGTAAGTGGCGGGATGCTTTGAAAGAAGCGGGTATCGCTGACAGCTAGAAATACTAGTTCTCTGGTGATGGACAGGCTGTGCGATCAGGCGAGGAGGGAAGATATCTCTGTTGCGGGCTTGTACTGCGACTACCTTGCTCACCAAGAGCACACTATCAACAATATGATGGGAGCGATCCTGAAGCAGCTCTTGGACGTAGACAAAATCCCGAATTACGTACGCGAGGCGTTTGAAAAAGCGAAAAACGAGCTGGGGGGTAGAAGGCTGCTGCTACCTGATATAATGGAGATGCTGAGGGCCGCTATTGATTTGTTAGGCCAAGTTTTCATCTGTATCGATGCGCTTGACGAATTCCTGCCGAAACATCTCCCAGAGCTTCTCAAGTCCCTGAGAGATATTGTTCGGAGGTACCCTAAAATTCGAATATTCCTCACCGGTAGGCCTCACGTCGGGGGCGATGTTCAAAAATATTTCACCACGGCATTTGTGATACCCATCAATCCGACCAAGAGTGATGTTAGGAATTATCTGGAGAGGAAGTTAGACAGTGACACACAACCGGAGGCCATGAATGATGATTTACGGGGAGAGATTATTAGAGTTATCGTGGAAAGGACATCGGATATGTGAGTAGGAGCATTTAGAATTTCCACCTTATCAATACTGCATACTTACCAACGATTATGGGTAGATTCCTCCTTGTTTCGCTCAACATCGACGCTATTTTGGGGGAGGTGACGATTCGTCAAAGAAAAAAAAAACTCGAAGAGATGATAAACGGCCATGGTCTGAGCGATGCCTATACGGCAACTCTGACCCGACTGAAGGAGCAGAAGGGAAGACTCGGACTGAAGGTTTTGATGTGGATTTTGTATTCGGAGAGGCCACTGCAGGCCGAGGAGCTCCAGCACGCCTTGGGAGTGGAGGTGGGATCAACGGAGTTGGATGTTGAAAACGTTCCTGCGCTACGAGCACTGCTTGTATCTTGTTTGGGTCTTGTCGTGGTGGAGGGGTCTTCGTCCACGGTCCGACTGGTGCACTATACTCTGCAAGAGTATCTCTTAAGCGATCCGACCCTCTTCCCTAGTCCCCACTCAGAAATTGCGGAGGTTTGCTTGACATACCTCAATTCCAGGAGTGTTCGGGACCTTTCGCCAACTCTTTGCTGGGCCCCCTTAACCACACCCTTTCTAAAATATGCTTCTCATTCCTGGGGGAATCACGCAAGAATGGGAATGACGGAAAATGTGAAAAAGCTTGCCCTGAGGCTTCTGGATAAATTTGATGAGCATATATCTGCTCAACTATTGCTATTGCGCTATCATGAACTTCAACTCTTGTCCCGTTACGATTTTGGTCCAGATGGGCCCAGGGGATTTACGGGACTCCACGGAGCAGCATCCGTTGGGCTCGTAGGGATAATATCAGCTGCGTTGGAGATGAAGGAATGGGATGTTAACGCGACCGATATAATGGGGTTTACGGCTCTCATTTGGGCAGTTTTTAGAGGGCATGAGGAGGTGGTAAAGGCTTTGTTAGAACGAGGGGATGTAAATCCCGACCATGCAGACACCAAATATGGCCGGATGCCACTGTCATGGGCGGCTGAGGGCGGGCATGAGGGGGTAGTCAAGATGCTTTTGGAACGAGAGGGTGTCAATCCCGACCATGCAGACACCGAATATGGCCGGACACCACTCTCATGGGCAGCTCAATACCGGCATGTGGGCGTAGTCAAGATGCTTTTGGAACGAGATGGTGTCAATCCCGACCGTGCAGACACCAAATATGGCCGCACACCACTCTCGTGGGCGGCTCAGAGCGGGAATGAGATGATAGTCAAGATGCTTTTGGAACGAGAGGGTGTCAATCCAGACCATGTAGACACCGAATATGGCCGGACGCCGCTGTCATGGGCGGCTGAGGGTGGGCGTGAGGGGGTAGTCAAGGTGCTTTTGGAGCGAGAGGGTGTCAACCCCGGCCGTGTAGACACCTTGTATGGCCGGACACCACGCTCGTGGGCGGCTAAGGGCGGGAATGAAGGGTTAGTCGAGATTCTCCGCACCGCCACCCTAGATTACAATAACCAAATACCACTGTCGTTGGCTCTTTCCTGTGAGCATGCCGGGGCTGCCGAGATTTTACAAGAGCGGGTCAATACCGTTTCTGTCACATCAGATCCCACTGAGGAACCTGTACTCTTATCGGCAGACCCCCATGAGCGGGAGGGAATACTAGATCGCGAAGACCCTACTCCCGATCCCGCAGATGGTAGCCCCTCACCAATTGCGCTGTCTAGTTTGCCTCAACCCTCTCTCGTGCGGCGCCTGACACTCTGGTGCTGTAAAAAGCGGAATAAGTGGACCCTATGCTAAGGCGTCAATAATTTCGCCTTTACATTCGGCTGAGGAAACACTGTGAAAAAGCTGTATTTCAGCCCCCTTGATCCAAGTGCAGAGAACAATACCTCTGGCTCTATTAGGAGATGCAACTCGAACGTCCTAGTTTGTGGCATAG